AAAAATGCATTAATAAATAAAATACAGAACCGGGAATGGTAATTTATGGTTTAGCCTAGTGACAAGTAGATTCGGAGACAAGTAAATTCGACTTAAGTCGTTTTTCGACTTACGTCGTTCTCCTGGAACCAATTACTGATGTAAGGCGAGGTATACCTGTATAAAATTTGTGATAAATACTTAATGATTTTCTAATAATTATTAACGATAAATAAATCAAATACTTTTTATATGGGTGCAAGTTTTATTAAACTTATGTACAAAAATAATATGCACAAACTCATTCTCACTGCCCATACCAATATCTGGATATGCCATTCTCAAAATTATTATTGTCAATTGACATTAGATGAAAATATCAGTTATATAACAGTCAGTTATATAAGATAATGTAATATAGATTATCTCTTAACTGATTCATAAATAAAATTATAAAAGATTTAATTATTATTAATAAAGTCAAGAAAAATATTTAAATAATAATACAGTATTACTGTTTGCGAAGATGTTATGTTTTATTTATAAGCACATCGATTATGAATTATATATTATACTTTTTATAAAAATACTACCTGTAAATTGTTGTTTCTTAAGTCAAGAAGTTCTAAAGTACTGTTAGCCTGGAGCAAGTTTCCTAATTGTATACCATCTGCAGCTATAATTTTATTTTCACCTATGTATAGTTCTTGTAGAGTATTATTCAATTTGATAGCTGCCACTAGAAAAATCAATTTAATCAAAAATCAATAAAAGTATTTTCATATAATTTCAAGGCTATAAAATTACTTTATTAACCTTTTCATTATAAAAGGAAAAATTTATAATAATAAACTGATAGATATTCTTATAATAATAGTTAATTTTAATTAAAATTCTCTGAAATGTACTAACTTCAAGTTAGCAATAGATATACAGAAATAAGTATGACATATTCAGAATTTCTAATTATTAAATTATTATTTTAAGCTTTTTTTTTAATGACAATTAATTGATAATCATAACATTAATTTTAAATTACAATCATGTTAAATTTAAGATAAATGGTAACAAATTTTAATTTAAACAAAAAATAATTTATTTTAATCAATAATAAAGTGATCTTATGTTTTTGCAACCAAGTGATGCAATAAGAGATATTAAAGATTAAAATATGAAGATTATAATAAAGTGATTTTGCTCTTGTACTGTACATATTCTTGGGTACTACTCAAGTTAACCTTTGAAACAGATATGATAACAACAAATAATCCAGCAAATAATTTAAAGTTTATCATAAATGTTAAAATTTTTTGCTAGAAAACTAAGATATGTTTATTTCTCTTTGAAATTGTTCCAGTTTAGTTCAATTTAGACCTGTTCTATCTTATTAAACCTATAAAAATAGGAGAAGAGAATGAAAAAGTAGATGGATAATAGAGTGAAAAATAAGAAATAACAGAGGAAAAAGATCTTTCTAAAAGACTACAAATGAAATTTAGTTACATACTTTCTTATCCTCTGCAATTAATGGCTAACATGCCAGAGTCTTTAGAAATGATAAGAATATTGATTGTTTTTTTATTTTGATTGATTGAAGAATATTGATTGAAAGTTGATTATTTTATGATAATAAAGGGATCATCTATATTCTTATTATTAGTAATTTTTTAAGGTAACAATTTAATGTAAAATAAACATATTTGATGACATAATATAAATATAGGGTAACAAGATGGCAGTAAATGTAAAAAACATTTTATGCCAAAACATAGAATGTATGTTTTTCTTTGTAAATAAAATAAAGTTATTAGCAATTACTGATTTAATTTATACTAAATTGTAAATCAGTAAATTTGTTGTAAACTTTAATTATTTACATATACACTGCCAAGAAATGTAGACATTCTTCCTAGACACTGAATGTGGTGAGGATAAAATATAGAACATGTCTGGAAAAACAACTATTTGGTCACCTGATGTAAGTAGCATCAACAGTATATTTGAAAACAGGATAAGTATAAAATTAATAACGAGAAAAGATCACAGCATTAATAAGACATTGATAAAAACAGAGAGATAAAATAAGACGACAAAAATGCTTATCTTTATGTATAATGTACGGTACATAGCATTTAATTGCTTAGTAATAANAAAGTGATTTTGCTCTTGTACTGTACATATTCTTGGGTACTACTCAAGTTAACCTTTGAAACAGATATGATAACAACAAATAATCCAGCAAATAATTTAAAGTTTATCATAAATGTTAAAATTTTTTGCTAGAAAACTAAGATATGTTTATTTCTCTTTGAAATTGTTCCAGTTTAGTTCAATTTAGACCTGTTCTATCTTATTAAACCTATAAAAATAGGAGAAGAGAATGAAAAAGTAGATGGATAATAGAGTGAAAAATAAGAAATAACAGAGGAAAAAGATCTTTCTAAAAGACTACAAATGAAATTTAGTTACATACTTTCTTATCCTCTGCAATTAATGGCTAACATGCCAGAGTCTTTAGAAATGATAAGAATATTGATTGTTTTTTTATTTTGATTGATTGAAGAATATTGATTGAAAGTTGATTATTTTATGATAATAAAGGGATCATCTATATTCTTATTATTAGTAATTTTTTAAGGTAACAATTTAATGTAAAATAAACATATTTGATGACATAATATAAATATAGGGTAACAAGATGGCAGTAAATGTAAAAAACATTTTATGCCAAAACATAGAATGTATGTTTTTCTTTGTAAATAAAATAAAGTTATTAGCAATTACTGATTTAATTTATACTAAATTGTAAATCAGTAAATTTGTTGTAAACTTTAATTATTTACATATACACTGCCAAGAAATGTAGACATTCTTCCTAGACACTGAATGTGGTGAGGATAAAATATAGAACATGTCTGGAAAAACAACTATTTGGTCACCTGATGTAAGTAGCATCAACAGTATATTTGAAAACAGGATAAGTATAAAATTAATAACGAGAAAAGATCACAGCATTAATAAGACATTGATAAAAACAGAGAGATAAAATAAGACGACAAAAATGCTTATCTTTATGTATAATGTACGGTACATAGCATTTAATTGTTTAGTAATAAATGTTCAAGAATTTAGAATCTTTTAAAATGAATTACTTCATTATACCTGAAAGTTTAATACTTCTTCATAAAGTTATTAAAAATTATATGATTAAATTTATCCCTCATTACAAATAGAATGTAAACTAGTTTAAATAGATTGGTGTCAAAATATATATAAACAGCTGTAGTTGACTTCGCTATCAAGGTTGTTCACTTTTGCATCTCTTGATAATAGACTTAGTTTCCCAAGAATACTTGACAAATTGTTACTTAATGTCAGTTACTGAGCACCAATAAAACAAATTTTTGTTTATTAGCTTAAAAGCATTTTTTAAATTTAGAAATTCATGTTTTAAAAATTTAAATAATAAATTACATATTTGTTTATTTAAAAAATATTATCATAGACTAAATTTTTATTCCAATTAAGGAAAAAAAAAGTTTCAGAAATTGATAGTCTAAATTGTTTTATTAACATGTTATCAAACTGAAAAATGAGTACATCTTAACTTCAATAAAGCAACTGTACTATTATTTTCATTTTTTCTCTTAAATAACTTAGGCATTTTATATATTTGCTTCTAAAATATAAAAGTCATTAAAGATTCTAACATCTTTAGTTTGAAGGCCATTTCATTACTCATCATTTAATTTCTGAATAAAATAATTGACTAAATAATTCATTAATGCACTTTACTAGCATTCATTGCACCAATTTAAAATACTTATTTTTTTATAATGGACTATTAAAACATTCAATGCCATTAGTCAATAAAATTTGACTGATAAATATGAAACTAAAGTTATATTTAATTAGATTACATGAAATTGAAAAGAGATAAAAATTTTATTTTAAACTGATAAATTTCATTTGCTACTTCTCTCCTTTATCTGTTAAATTTATTTCACTTTTGCAAGATTTATTAAGAGTTCTTTTTTTTCTGAAAAAATTTTTTTAAATACAAAATGGATTTTGTAGAGATTATGGTATATTAAATTGTCCTATGTTTGAATACAGTTAGAAAAATATAGTAAAATCTGTTTAAACTGAAATTGAACAGTACTAAATTGTTTTTCCACTTTGGCGGGTTTCCATTTTGAACAGATTTCTCTATTTTTTCTTATTTTACCTTTAAACTGCACCAGATAAATGTCTCACAGTATGTTCATTTTGTATAGTAAAATCATTTCTATATACGTAAAAAAATTATATTATTAGATTTGATTGCAAAAGTTTTCATTGTTTCCATGAATTTGTGCAAGGTATACAAATACTTGTCAGATTCCATTATTACGAGTACACGTACAGTGAACAAGCCAATTTGAGTACCAAGAAGCAGTGTCTTGGTCTGCCGTTAAAAATTCTAATTGCATTACAGTAATACACAGATCAAGTTATTCTGTATCTGACTTCTAAAGGAATTTTAATACTCTAATCAAAGTCAGGACTACAAGGAGAAGACTACAAGGAGAGAGGACTACAAGGGCTAAAGCTTCCCATTAACACAAAAAAATTAAAATTTATTTGTTTGAACTATAAAACAAAATTGCTTTAAAAACATTTATGATGGCAAATTTAGTTTATTAGAATCATTTGCAATACAATTGTTGTGCACATTTTAATAAAAGGTACAGTACTTGTTAATTATTCAAATATGTTTAATTTTTGAGTTATCCTTTCTCTAGATACTTCTGAATCTGCCATTGATGTTTAATTAGTCATTAACTCTCTAATTATCAACATGTTAATCAATTGGTTTTAAAATACTTGGCACAAGTTTACTATTATGTGAAAGGCAAATTTGCAGCTATACTGTTATTTTATTCTCATTGTTTTTATGAATTACATTTGTTGTTTGTTTTCAGGAATTTATTTTACAGAAAATCAATTTGATTCTTAAAAGTTCCCAATTCATGACAATATTTAAATTTTTTCCCAGTTAATCCAACAAAATCTAATATTAACAAAGACCTGATATGTATGCCCCTTTGTCGTGTGACTTTCATTTCTCTGACATGGTTTGAAATTATTTTTGTATTACAGTTTGTCATAACCTGCATTATTATACTCAGAGATGATTTTATTTATTTGTCAACAAGTGAAATCTTAATTTTCTGCTTTATCAGATTAAGTTATGTTCTTTGTACCAAATTGTTATTTTCTGTTTCTGCATCAAACAGGTTTCTGGCTTATAGTAAAATTTAACATAAAAAATCTCTCCATTCTAAAGAATTTCTTCCATGTAGGCAGGTTTCCATTTTGTTCAGGGTTTACTGTACAAATTATGTGTAAGATATTTATGTACCTCTTTATCTAGATTTACTAGAAAATGATACATAGAACTTCTACTATGAGGCCATGCTTTTAAAACATCTTACTGATCACAGTTTGCCAAATTAACAGAATTCACAAAAATTTACAAGATTTGTTATTTTACACATAACAAAGATTTATTACATTTGACTAACAACTACAAAATGCTTGTATGCTTTGCTAAAAACAAATACACTACAAACTTTCCTTAATGAAATAAATTCAGCATTAGATACTTTAATTGAGCACAAAGTAAAATTACTACTAAAAAAACNGTTATTTTACACATAACGATGATTTATTACATTTGACTAACAACTACAAAATGCTTGTATGCTTTGCTAAAAACAAATACACTACAAACTTTCCTTAATGAAATAAATTCAGCATTAGATACTTTAATTGAGCACAAAGTAAAATTACAACTAAAAAAACTACATTCATACCTAAGCTTATCTTCAAGCGATTGTTGCTATGGATATATTATTTGAAAGAATATTGCCTAAGAATGAGCATAGACTTCAAATATCTATGTTTTATAACAATTCAAACTTTTATAAAAGTTTGAATATTTTAATAAAAATAGAAAATATGCTTTTTACAGTTATAGACACCAAGAAAGCTGGAAAAAAAATTACATTTACAGTACATTTTTTGTGATTTAAGCCATTCATTTCCTATTAGTTGAAAAATATAAGTAATGGAATAAAATATAAGTAACATACACATTATTATTATTATAAATATTTCAGAGATAATTTCTTTCATTTATCTTATAATTTAAAGAAAAATATAAAACTAGTAATGCTTAAAATAAAGCCTTAACCTAAAAATTTTTAGAGTGTATAATACTGTATATAGTACAGTGTATTAAATTTCTATTGATTATATTTATTTTTAAACCCTTTGACAAAAATTCCATAATATAATTCTGTATGGATAATGTAAAAAGCTAGGATATCTAAGTATTAAAAGTCATGTAAATACATATTTCCAACAGATAAGAGCACTTTTGCATACAAAACTTGCTGGTTTTCATATTTTTTGAAATGCCCTGCTTTACTTATAAGAGCATATCTCACATCTAAGAGCATCGTCTTACATATGCCAGCTTGTCTTGACTTATGAGAGTACCACACTGCTGTGTCAATGTAAATTAATTGTAAATGTACTGATATTCAGTGACATCTCTGTGGTAAATATTATTAAAAAAAAGTAAAATAAAAACAACAATGTTCTGATACTACAAAAGCTTATTTTAAATAGTGAATTTTTTTAGATACTTTTCAGAATATACTGCCAATTTTGTTCCATTTATAAGAGCATACACTTATATCACGTATTATGCACTTATATGTGTAGAAATACCATAGTTATAAAAATCATAACTTACGTGATTTTTAGTGTCTTGATGTCCTAGCTTTAGCAATTAATAAGCTATATTTTTATGTATACTAATTAAATGTAAGTAAAAAAATTATATATAAAATTTTTACCTAGAATAACAAGTGGTCTTCCTGTAAGACCACAGTTTTCCATGTGTAAAGTTACCAAATTATTTCCTGTTCTTAATGCTCTTCCAAGTATTAATAATGTTTGCTCATTTTGTTTTGTACCTTTCGCATCCAAGTAATGAAGACATGTTGTCTAAACAAAAGAAAATATATATTATAAATTATATAAAATTAACAAAAAGAATTTAAATAATGATTTTGATTCCTCTTATTTTACTAATTTTCAATTTATGGATAGATTTCATTCAAACTTACTGAATATTAAAAGTTAAATTCTTATTTCAAAATTGCAAATGATAAACTAGAGAATATAAATTTACTGGACTTTCTTGATTATAGTAATACAAAGTAATCAATAATATTTTAAATAATAAAAAAATAATTTTATTTAAATTAAACAAATATTTTTCAATCAGATGTCTCCAGGCAGTATGTAATTAAAAAAACAGCCAGCTCCAAAATCAATATTTTAAAATGTTGTTCTTTTATGTAGATATTATTTGAAGATGCCTATTTAATAAATATGTAAAAGTACTTGTTTAACGTAAATTAAATCACTATTTATTACTATTACATATTATTCATGATTCAGTTACTTCATTAGAAGCAATCGAATCATGGATAATAACATGCAGCTGCTCCAACCAAGTTTTAACTGTTTTTAAAATAATCAGTTAATTGACTTCTGAGCCACCTATCTATATTAAATTTAAAATTTATTTAAATAAACCTGAGTTATATTTGAACAATGAAAGATAACTGCATCTCATATATTGTATAATTAGAAAATGGAGAATTTTTATCAAATAAAAAACCTAGAATTAAAAACATGCAAACTTAATTATAGAAAAATGATTTTATTAAGTAACGTGCTGAAATCTTACCATTTTAAAAGAATTTATGGTAATATTCTGCCATTAGATCTCTATTATTAATGCTCCAAATTGATGTCAATATACTGAAATTTATAATTAGTTTATATATGTCAATTCATTACATTTTACTTTAATTGTGCCATCAAAAGTTCTTTAGCATAGAAAAATTTGAAATTATAAGCTAGTTTCTCAATTTATATAATATTTTTAAAAACTCCTGATAATATATTATCCTATAATTATAATGAAATTATTTAATTATTATGATTGCTGTCTATAAAAAGAAAAGTTTTAACATATAAGCTGATTCTATTATATGAAAAAGCAGAGAACTTAAACTGAAAATAAAAATAAATGTGATATTTATGATATCTAAAATATAAAACAAAAATCACAAAAAAATAAATGATTACTGAATGCCTAAAGTCAATTTGTCCAACTAGTATGGTAATTTTAGAACTGGCTTCATGAATGTATGATCTATGTATTTGTATAGGGCTCCTATGCTTAAGGAGATTTACAGTGAGTTCAATACTTGACTAATGTTCAGCCTCAGCATCTTGGAATTGTCTCACATTTATATTTAGCATTGGGTCCTGTAAAATATTGTGAGGTTGCCGACGGGAGTGGAAATATGTCAAGAGGGTCAAGGGGTCGCAAAGGGTTCATATGTGGGCGATCAGCACTGAGACAGACTCTACGGTTACAAGAAACCGTTTATTTAACACGAAAGGAGCTTACAAGATTTTCGCAATCTTGGAAGTTCTAAGTTGGCGATAGCCTCTGGATCTTCCTCTCCTTTCCAAGATAGTTCCAAATGAAGGAGTATCACCAGTTTGCGAAGAACAGTTCCCTCAATATCTTGATTACTCTGGGTTGATGTGGTCTACTGCTGGTAATGAGATGTCAATCTGAGATCAGGAGACAGAGATGAAGATGGGCAACAGCTGGTCTGACATTTAGAACTTTCAGGAGAAGAAGTCATCATGTCTTTGAATTCCCAGAGTTTTATTAATTTCCTTCCTCGATTGTCCATTCCGAGTGGTGGCTTTTCCTCATTCTCACTTTCTAAGTGGTTGATCACTCGTTACTAACTGTAACGAGATCTCAACTTAGATCACGGGAGAGGTCAAAATCGAAGTTTAATTCGATCCCCAACCAAAGATGGTTGATAGACTTACATTCTTCTATTGTTTAAAAGTTCACATTGTGATTTCATTAAAAAATCTTTTTCTAGCTTCTTTTTTTCTTCTTTAAAAAAAAATCATTTTAATGCATATTTCAGTAAGGATTTAGACCTGTCCAGTGCCTCACAATATGGAGCCAGTTCTAGGTAGTCTATCAGATCAATCTTTAACACAGCAATTCCCAACCGGGGGTATGCACTTGGTGGTTATGGGTATGCAAAAATAAAATTAATAATGGCAGATTTACTATAATAATATTTGGTTCTGCTTTGAGGCCTTTTGTGATGTCACAGTACTCAATGCTTAGTTTTAAATTATACAGTAACATATAATTAACCAAGGAATCACTGTTTGACTAATACGTGAAATAAAACTTAGCAGGAATGGGCTCCCAAGGTGTATGACAGTCAAAAAAGATTGGGAAATGCTGCTTTTACTCTATGTTGTGATTGCAATATGTTCACCTGTACATTTCTAGAATCAATATTTTGTTCACATTAAAGTTCCAAAGAACTGCTAATAAACCTGCTGTTCTGGCTGTTTCATTTAATCTATATTGTCATGTATTGCAATCAACTGATTTTGCGTATATGCATTTCTAAAGATAATAATTCTTGTATTAATTCAAAATTTAAATCTTACTGATGATAAAGAGATTGTTTTTGAAAGATTATACTCAGGATTCATCAATGAGAAATGATATTATTACTAATTTAGTATTAGCAATATCATTCATTTCTCATGAAATTAAATTATTGAATGAAATTAAAACATTAAATGATAGATCGATAATCATAAAAACTAAAACTCTAAATTGCAAATTTCTTTAAGACAATGTAAAATTTTAAATTATATTCTAATGCAAGGGTGCAACCTTTTTAAGTATGTGTGCCAAAATCACTGAATCTATGATGCAAAATTTTTCATGTGCCAATGAAAATCTTTGGCAGCATATTATTATTTGATGTCTTTTAAGTATTGAGAGAACTTTTTCAAATAATCAAAAATACACATATATACATACTTTAGAAACCTGATAGCTTCTCTATGAAATACAAAAATATATATCAATATAAAATGATGACAAAGAAATGATTCCATATCTAGTTATCTGGCTAATAATGCAATGACTAAATGGAATAAAACTTGTAGGTCAGTATACTGCAGAGATATTGTGTCTTGGAAATAAAATGTTTTTTCATTTTCTTATTATTAGCAATACAGTTTGTAATGTTTGTTTCTTTATTGCATTTTTATTTAGTATTACTATACTCAATAAAATTGTATTCTATTAAGTTAAAATATATAACTCAGCAAAGATGTTGGATATTTATTTTTAACGTAAATTCTGGCTGGCACATTGGAGAAAGTCATTGTCATGTCACATTTGGCATGCATATGAATAATTGTCCACCTCTGCCCTAGTAACGATTACAGGAACACCATGCAATTCTTATATTCAATTCATATAAATATATATATAAATAAATATATAAAACAAAACAGTTTGGTTTGGTTTCTTTAAAGCAGTGGCATGCAGTGACATTTGATGATAGGGAAGCTGTGCTGGTCCTGGATAGAATCATTGGAAGCATTATACAATATTTTGGTGTATAGCATCCACGAGCTAAACTGCATGAGGTTGGTGCTCTTCATAGTGCATGTGCGAATACATATAATCTGGTTGCTTTATATGATTCAAATATTTTCACAATGTAAGCTATCCCATATTCGACAATACAGCACTTTCATTGGGAATATGCATATTTGAATATATAAATTTATATTTGAATATACANTTCAAATATTTTCACAATGTAAGCTATCCCATATTCGACAATACAGCACTTTCATTGGGAATATGCATATTTGAATATATAAATTTATATTTGAATATATAAATTTATATTTGAATATACAACAGCAATCTTATCATTTTTTTCATATGTAGTATAGAAATTTGTAATAAGATACATAATGCAGTTATAATAAAATATTAATTTTAATTAATTCAAAGTATGTTAAAATATGAAAATAATTGCACAATATGCATTTATATTTTAGAAAATACATGAGAAGTGGTGCTTCCACAGCTTCCATGGACGGCATGCCACTGCTTTAAAGAAAGCTATATTTATTGCATTGACACTTAGACATGGTACCAAGTATAACAAAAGTTTACAAAAATTTTATTTCATGAGAAAGATTAATTTATGTGATGACATAATATTACTAATAACAAAATCAGTTTCATCTAAATTAGAAACACACACACACACATATAGATATATATATATATATAAGTTCTAAGATTATTCTGTTACTTTTAAGTTGAATATTTAGTGATAAAATAGTCTTCAAGACCAAAACATTTCATCATCTGATCAACATTCTATTAAATATAATAAATTGAAATGAATGAAGAATATTTCAAAATATGTTCATTACATTGAAAATAATTATGATAAATATTCAACTTCTACATCTCATATTTAAACACATGGTTTTGTTGATAATTATGCAGTTGATATTTAATTAGTAGAAAATTTAGAAAAATCATGAAATATCAAGTTGATTTCAGATTTAAATCACATTTAGAAACTGGTGACATATATTTATCTAAAAAATAGAATTAACAAAAAGATAAGAAAAACATGAATTTTATATTTACAGATTTTAAAAAGCTACAAATTATTTTAATATTAGTGATATTAAGAAGGAGAATATAAAAAAAATTATATATTTTTGTTAATATAAATTTAAAATTGTCATCTGGTTTAATCAGAATTCCTTTGATTTTTTAGTAAGATTTCCATTACAATTGTATTTTGCTGAATCTTCATTTGTTTTGGTTTTTATAATAAATGAAAGATTACTAAGGGACTGTCCCTAAATTACATCCATATTTTTCTTGAAATTTTTACTCACCCCCGTTTGTCCACATTTCCATAACTCCCTCCCCTCTTTGGCTGTCTAACAAAACTGAAACATCCTTAAAACCTCTATGACTTTATGAACATAAGTAAAAATGAAATACAAGAAATTCTGAAATAAATGTAATAAAATGCATAAACTATATAGAATTTAATGAAATAAACAAATGTCTACTAAAGCTCAACCCTCCTCTCCTTCTTGTTCCCCCTTCCTTCCCTTCCAGTGTAAACATCATTTATGGACAGCCTCTAAGAAAACAATCAGCATAATTGAAAAATATTAACAATACTAACAAAACGAATATTCAGCTGGGCAATATGATCAGAAAAAACAAAAAACGGTTAAATTAGTAAAAAATATTTGCTTTCCAAAATTAAACACTGTATTTTAAAGGTTTTTGGTGTTTTCTGATTAACATTATTATCAGAAAGTTTGCATATAGTATACACTCTTTGACAAAAAAACTAAAGCACACTGAAGCATCCTATCATGAAATTGTGTGCATCTAATATGAATAAAGAGATGAAAAATTTATGATAATTTCAAAGCAAACATACTCCTATTTTGAAAATATCATACAGATCAATATGTAGTAAAACCATCTCTGACTATAAAACAGGTGGCTGCTTGATATGCAATCAGACAAAGCTTAGTTGTTGTTCAGTGAAAATTTTTCCAAGCCTGCTACAATTGCTGCTCAAGATGTTAAGATTCCATGATGACTTCAACTGATTATTTAATTAACCATTCATTGATGATGAAACTGTTATCATTTGCAACTTTGTCTACTTTAACTTTGTAAATACAGTATTTACATACTGAAATTGTATGTTTTAAGAACAGTTTAAGAGAGTGCTTCAATTTTTATGTCAAAAAGTGTAAAAACGGAAATGTGAAAATTTAAAGTAAAAATTATATAAAATATAATTGTTGGATAGAAAAGAGAAATTGAAAAGATTTACATTCATAGTATACTGAAATTATGAATAGAATAAATTGTAAGAGTATCATAAGATGAGTGTTACAGCAAGAAAATAGACTTAAGCAAAATAGCTTTATGATAAAAACATAACAGCAATGCTAAAATAATGTTAAACTTTTTTAATCAAAAAATTTGAAGATTTGAGAATAACAGAAAAGTTAATAATGCATTTAGGATATTATAAAGGAAATACCATTATAACTGTTAGGAAAGAAACCATAGCATGACTCATGAATATAAGCATTTATATAACTTAAATAGTTGAAATTAAAGAAGTTATATTATTATTTATTACATATTATTACTAATAAATAATAATAATTATTACATATATTAAATTACAAGTTGTATATAATTAAAATGTAAGAATTTGCAGTTTAACATATTTATAAATTAAAAGAAAATGAGCTTGTATGTATATTTTTCAACTTTCCACCTAGTGAGGTTATACCACTAAGGACTTTTTCTTGCACTCATTGTGAGTTCTGTAGACTCACAATAGGGCTGGATGAAGAAAGTTGGGACCCAAGATATCTGGAACAGACTGCCAACAAGAAGTTCTTGAAGGTCCTGACATAGATTTGAACCCACTTTCCTACAATGGCAGGCTGATGCCTTTATCACTTTTGGCCATCCAGCCTTCAGAGTTTGTATGCATTAGACTTATACATTGTAAAATAATGATATAGATAATTCCTAAATAGATCTTATTGTAATCAGTTTTACGAAATATGAATAATAACAATAATTTTAAGAAATTTTGAGAAGCAATGAAGCAACCAAACAAAAAACATTAATTCTGTAAAATTTGAAATATCATTTAAAAACTTACATTTGAAGTATAATAAAATGTAAAACAAGAACCGGTTACAAATATCAAAAAATAACTTTTTCCTCTTTCCATAAAAATGTTTATTAATGGAACAAACAAAAGTTTTCCGCCTGATTTATTAGTCTATTGTCAAATCTAATATAAAAAATAAAACGTTTTTTATATTAGCATTGATGTAGACCTGAAGTAGGCCCATAAATCAGGCTGAAAACTTTTGTTTGTTCCATTAATAAACATTTTTCTGGAAAGAGGAAAAGGTTATTTTTTGATATTTGCATTTGAAATATGTTGGAAATAAGCCAGTTAGTGAAGTTATCAGTATAACAATGTTTTTATTATATTATATTACATGTAAACTTTGTGATTTATTCAATTTTATTTTACATACTTGTATTACAATTAAGATGCAGAGAAAAAATTCTTGATTAATATATCAACAATGTTATAATTAGAATATTCTTGTATTAGAACATACAATTACTTTAATGTTAATAAATGTTTTAAAAACATGAAATCTATGAAATAATATTTAAAATTAGAAAGTAATGCAATATCAAACAGGTTATATGTTTTATTTATAGTACTGTAATTGGAGAAAAAGAAGAACCTTATCATATTATATACAATAATATTAATAAAATTGAAGAAAAGTATAAATTAAAATATTTTTTTTTCACATGAAATACTTTTGAGAGGACTCAGAATTGTATTATTGCAATTAATTTGATGATTTTGTTAATTTAATATAATCTTTATGAATTTATGTAACTTAGTGTACTTGTAAATCTTCTACAAAAAAATGAACTAGTATATTAAAACACTAAAATAAATAAATATTTGGTATTTAAGTTTTATGCAATGATAAAGCACAAAATTTATCTATGATATTTGAGTTATTTCAGCTAAATATATCACTGCTAAAATAAAACTGCTATTAAATATAACAGCAAAAAAGTACTTAAAATAATAGCAGTCAAATTTATATAATATTGATATAATTTTATTTTAAATGTAAGTTTTAAAAGCTCTCAAATTTTAGTAAAACTTACTTTTCACCTTATATATATCTAAAATATTATATCCTTTATTTTATAATACCTTTTTCAACATCCTTGCACATGCTTGCCAACCTCTGTAATCAATACTTCTATTAAAAGATATATTTAATTCCGATGCAGATTCATAATAGTCAATCATATCAAAAACAGCAGCAGAACCCTGAAAAGATTATTAGATCAGTAAAAGTAATTCCTTAATTCAATTAATATTTTTCTTTATTATAAAATATATTATAACAATATAAATTTATAATTTTTTTATCTTATGATTTTAAGATTTAAGACTATTATATAATAATAAAAAAATCTTTCAATACAGGTATAGTGAGGGAGGGTAGAGAGGAGAATATGTTCTAAATGCTACTGTATATGAGAAATAAAAATTTCAATTATCTCAATTCAGATCATTTCAGTTTAAATGATTCTAACTGCAAACCAAAACACTGAATATTTGGCTACTTTTTACACCATTACTTCTAACTTGTATGTTTCATAAAAAGCACATTATCTGTTAGCAGACAACACTATCAACAATCAATTACTCATTGACAAAGAAAGTAAATGACTTAACAAAACTCAATATATTGTTTCTCTTATGATAACTAAAGTGAAAAACAAGTGCACACTTAAATACCGTAATAAATATTGTTTAGTTCAATAAAATTTGGTTAGGATAAGAAAATATTCCTGTAGAGAACCAAGTATTTTAAAATTATGAATATTACAGTTAGTTTTAAAAATTATTATACCATATTTATTCAATTATAAGTCGACACTGATTGTAAGCTGACCCCATGAAATAAAAAATGAAAATTTGTTAATCAAGTATAAGAAATAATTTTACATCATATTAATTGTTCAGTTGCTGTCATCAGATGATTCAGATTTATAATCACTTGATCCTTTCTTGCTATCTTTGCACAGAGCATCATCTTTTGTGCCATCAAGCACATTCAACATCAAACACTTTCTAAGTGCATCTGCAATGACTTCTCTAAAAATACTTTTCCATGTGCATACAAAATTCATGGAAACTTATCTGTGGCAGTATCTGGCAATATTTTTTCAAGCTTTTGATTATGTCAGTAAAGGGTGTAACCTACTTTACCAACAGTATTAATGATTTGATTTAAGCTGAGGGACATTTTTTGAACAATGAAAAAATTAAAAAAAGGTTGGCTTGCAATTGGATAAATACAATATAGTATAATAAATATTTTATTAACTTTATTTTTCAAAATTAGAATCAGCTAATTACCGTATTGAAATAATACATTTTATATTTTAATATTGTATGAAACAGTTTCAAGCAAATTGTTTAAACTGAAAATTTGGTAATCTTATCACAAAACTTGACAATGCAAATATTTACACATTCTTTAAGGATCTGATTTTATAAAGCACTGATTTCATTTGATACCTTCAAAATCAACAATTTATGCATCATTAATATCATACTCATTATCAACTGCATATAATAAAATTTTCCTCTTCATGCTCTTCTGCTTCTTACTAGCTTTATTACAATAGTACTTGACTAGGCTATCTAGTGAGTTCAGCTAGGTCAGTAAGATGTATGGTGTCAGAATATGATAGTATTATAAAAAATGTGAAAATGATACTATCAAAAAGGAGTTGATAGGAGAACAAGTATTTTATGGATGTGCTTAAAAATAAATGCAATTTGTATAGTAATACAGCATAGTAAGGAGAGCATAGTAAATCTCTCCAAGTACTATACTATAAACATAATCCAAAAACTCCTGTTAGAAGGAGAAAACACTAATTTACCAAAAATGCTGAAATGGATTTAAAACATAAAAAATCAACCATTTTAACTGTAGAAGAAGCTACTAGTATAAGTTTTGCATTTTGTAATCATAATATGTTACCTCTAGATCACGGGCACCAAACTTTTTTTACAGCAGGTTAGATAACTGAGAGAATGACGAGTGCGGGACGCATAACCATTTTGTTCAATACAGCACACTGAACATACAAAAAATAAAGACTACCAACATATTTATTTACCAATACAAAAATACAATTACTGCAACAATCTCATAATCACTTTTCTTAGAAACTTCATTGGGGTACTTACATAATCTAAAAATTATATTACTGTCAGATAAAAAATCAGATTGGACCAATTTTGGTATTTTTACTTACACTTATTTTAATTTTTTTACATAGTAAGTTCATCTACTCATCAATCTACGATATTTCCATACAGATAATTATATTTTAGCTGATTTGTGGCACAGTGCGGCAACAGGCTGGATGAAAATGACCTCACGGGTCAGATCCAGCCTGTGGACCATAGTGATCCCTGCTCTAGATGATTATCTTTTCTATTTCTACATCCTGTAATTTTTGTAATTTTATTATTATGTAAATTACTGTAAGCAGTTCCAATGGAAATTGACTGTAGGAAAGATAAAATCTCTGACTCCAGCAATAGTTTACAAGTAAAGGTCTGCTGTAAGAGGTATGCCTCAGTCTTTGAGGAACTTTTTAGTAATTTGCTCAAAATTTTACCATATTATTAAATTCCAAATTATTTTGACAGATAATGGTATACAATTTACCAACCTGAACTACTATAAGTATACTTTTAAATATATTTCATAGAATACTATGATAGGCTTCTTGTCTAGTCTTCTGAATGGCTTGTGAGCAATAAAATTGGCTTTTATTTACTGCTAGACTTATTATTTCAGAGTTTGCAATAAAATGGTATTGCAATAAAATAATATGTACAGTACCATTTTATTGCATTTTATTTTATGTATTTGTATTGGTAAATAAATATGTTGGATGTAGCTATCCAAACTTGGACAAATGGGCAAGTTGAATTTATGAACAAAATTATAAGGAATTAATTCAGCACTGCAAAAAAAACAAACCATCAAGAAATACAAAAGTGTATAAAAGCTTTTTTAAATTTCTGTATTTTTTGCTGAATTTTGTTTTTGTAGCACTTAATTAATTACATATATCCAGTTTGTGTCATTGAAACTGTAAGGGATTCTACAGTTAAGAACTTTTATTATCAGCCACACCAACACTCAAAAAACACCTTTATAACTTTGTTATGGCTTATAATTTTGCTTAAAGACTCAAAATCCTTAAATGTCTTACCCCTTACAAATTTATATGTCAATAGTAGACAAAATCACCTGCTTTATATACATTTTATTCACCCATCACACTCTCAGACTATACATCCTTACAAAAACTCCTTACAATTTGTCTTAAACATTCGCAGGAAAATGCATAACTTAAAATAAGGGAAAATACCAGTTCTATAGCTGAGAATAAATCATTGGAAGGCTAGACGAACAAGCCAATAAAACTGTAACTAAAGCCACTAAAATCCTAAAACCCAGCAGAGATGTTAGGAGGTACTAACATTTTCACCTGTGTTGAACAGGCATCATCAGGCAATCCAATCCCCTAACTGTTGAAACAACGAGGAATTGCTGTACATGTGTGAAGAGGAGTGACGTAAGTAGAGGGAAGGGGGGAAGGATAGTAAGAGTTATAGTTCAAAGAAAAACTTCTACACTCTTTCCCAGTGAGGAAGTCTTTCTTTTCCATTGTATGTAATGTAAATAGAGTAAACTCCAAGGAGATGAAGATGATCATAAGGATCTTTATAATTCCACAGTAGAATATTTTATTTCCTTTAAATAGGCCTATATATTAAGCTAATTTTTTTAATAATTAATTTTAATATTTTAAACTGTAGTAGGCTAATCGTTTTGTCAATTTTTAGCTGTCCTGCTGATAAGTTTTTTTCCAACACTGTTTAGCCAGGTTTATTAATTTCTTCACAGCATTCATATTTCCTCATTTCTGAGTTTCTACATCATCAGCAAAAAGACAGAAACTTGGAAAAATTAAAATTCTGACTCACATGCTTGAGCTTGGGAAAACATACAAGAAAAATAGCACTCTTTCAAGGCATAGAGACCAACTGCCAGAACTAACACTGTTGAAAAAGAAATCTAACAAATATAATTAAAAATATTTTAATCTTGTGAGCGCTTTCGACGTAAATATGCACATCGTCTTCAGGCAACTCAAAATCGAATGTGACGACGTGCATATTTACGTCGAAAGCGCTCGCAAGATTAAAATATTTTAAATTATATTTAACACCTCATAGTCTGAAGTTTTGATTGAGATAACTGTTGGCATGACATCCAACCCCAGTACTTAAATCTAACAAAATCTGGGAAATGGATTTCACATCCAAGAATTGTCCAATTCTGCATTTATATTTTGGGTATTTCTTGGTTGTTTTTTTATATGTTTTTATATTTTTATTTATTTCAACCATTCAGTTAGTATACAAATAAATATACAGGTATCCCTCATGTAACATGGTAATTACATTCCAAAAAATTTATGAGAATCTGTGCTATGCAAAACAAAGGACTAGTACAAAACATAGGGCTAGATTCCAAAAGTTAACAAAAGTATACTATTGTTTTCCATTACTAAAGCAATCATTAATTAACTAACGATCACAATTAAAAGTACTGTATTATGTATTAATATTAATTTTAGTTAAATGAGTGAGTTTTCTTTTTACAAATATTATCATCAGCTTTTTTGTCGATCTTGATCAGAAATATCAGCAACATCTTCATTTTTCTTTATTTTTATCATAAAAGATTTTTATGGACAAAATAAAAATATGTTATTGATTGAAAATTTGTTCTAGCAAGTTGCATTTGTTTAGTCAAGTACTAAGTGATTTTTTTCTAGAATTTGTTAAATTTTAAAAATTTGTTAAAGTTGGGAACAGTTCGAATACTGAGATACCCACATATTTTTTTGTCATTTTTATGAATGATTGTTTACCCATGGTTAAAAAAAGCTTAATAACACTTATCTACAAATGTTTAAATAAATTTTATTACATTCGAAGATTGATCTTTAAAAACTAAACACAGTGACAGTCTTAAAGGCTAAAGTCTGAAAGCAATGATGACACCTGGTTGATAGGAAAACTAAGACAAGAAAAACAAAAATTGCACTATCAGTTTTCATTAAAGCAAACTTGATGAAAGGCACAAAAGAAATTTAAAATTTGAATATTGTAAAATCTACGGGCAAATTTCACATGACATGCATGCTTACTTGAGTAAA